TAAGCCAGCTTAAGCCCCTGTCTCTGTCTCTTATACTAAAAGTAAGTGACTTATTTCAAAGTCCCGTAACAGCAATCGCTTTTTAAAGGATGGATCTTAGGCTAACAAGGAAAGCCAGGGGAAAGATTCTTGGGACTTCAGCTGTTAAAGCCAGTTTAGTTATAGTGGCAATTGCCAGCCTTACATTTTTTGTAGTGCTCCCCCGAATCATAAGTGAGAAAGGAAAGCTAACAGCCGGTGAAAGTGCTTTGTTCTCGTATGAGAAAGCAAGTTCAAGTCAGCATGCTTTGAGAAACTAGATATTTCGTTTTCTTTATTTAGCATCTTTTTTGCTATTGCTAAGTCCTTCCATGTGGGTTTTTTTCCCTTTTCGCTAGCCGTGAAAACAAAACCTGTAGGAATACCTGTTCTTTCAACAAGCCTTAAAAGCTGTCTCCTTTAGTAGTTCCTCACCTTCCTAAGGATAAAGAGCGAAATTATAATACTTTTTTTATTCATTCTTTTTTTGGTACTGATTCGGTGCGGGAATAGCCCTCCTTCTATCTGCGAAAAAACCTACTTTATCTAATACGCTTTTCTCTATTCGGGCAAGTAACAGGAGTCAAGCTCGCAAACCAGACTTCCAAGAGTAGAGGATAGGTCCATTCGATGGAGTACCCTAAAAGGGGTGCCCTCCCTGAGTCTTCCTAAGTCCTAGTTTCAGCTTGATAGACTAACTAATTACTTAATAGAATTGCCGGATCAACCATCAATTGTTTCTTATGATTCTAGGGGTTTAGGATAGGAAGAGGGCTAAGTTCAATTCAAAGATGCTAAAAAAGGGCATTCATTATAATGGCTTTCAATGCGCATTGAGCGAGCTGCTAGTTCAGGTCTTTGTTGTTTGTTGTATTAGATCTCTCGTTCCCAGTAAGAGATGAGCTTTATCTTCAGGATGGAACGTTTGTTCAGGACCACAAGACGGGATTTTCCCCTAAAGAGTCACACTTGGAGAGGGGATTTCCTTCCATTCATAAGCCCCATGCTATCTCCCCAAAAAGTAGCCCGAAGTGACTGACCATATAGAATCGTTTTTTTCCCTTTTCCAGAGACGAGAGAAGTAGCAACCGTGGACCTAGCTCACGGGACTAGTTGCGACAGGAAAGAGGGAACATGGTGTTGTGCTTCTTACCTATGATGATTCTGCATTTGCCCGGTTAAGCTGATATTTATATAGAAATACGAGCTCAATTACATCGCTCCTCTCCTTGACTTGTATGAGTAGGGCGAGTGGCTTTCACTCCTCTTCCCCGCCTCGAGGTCTTCTTACTTCGGTTGGAACTTAAATACTTCGGCACTGACTTCTCGGTTAGAGGGCTTTAGCCTTTTTGGAATGTACTGTATTTACTATAGGGTTTGTTTACTTGATTTCTTTGTATTTTGCTTGCTGAGTTGAGTAGAGTAGTTGATTAGTTCAAGACTGGACATGACTTTCCTTCCGACAACCAAGGCAAGTACTCCATTTTCCTTTCGTTCTTTCTTTATCTTCCAGAGCTCTAGTTTCTTCCTTAGATTGTCCCCATTACACTCTTTCCCTCTTCTTCTTTGCCCTTTTATATTATAGAGACGAGTTTACGAGCCGGCTGCCTTTCTTTCTCTTCAAGCCAATTCCCCTTATATAAAACAATCTGGTAACGATGCTGCTCTATCAAGACACCAAGCTCTATAGGTAGCGAGCCGAATCAGTAAGAAAACTAAACTTAAAAATGACCTTTTTAGATAGCTCCAAAGGCAGAATCGGGATGAGAAGGTTCCCCAATAGGGGGGCAAAGCCCGTTCATAATTTCTTCCAAACCTCCGACATATGCTACCGCTGCTGCAAGACCTCTTCTTCCTAATGGAGGTGTCGGGAGTGGCTCATAACCCCTGGGCTCCTCGTGCAGGTCCCAGTTCCAAACTTATCTAAGGAGTACCACAAACCATACGGTCGCTGGTAACTCGCCCTCATGATTCATCACGTGGTGGACCATAGGGTAGCACTAAGAAAGATAGCTGCCCGAGGGAAGTTTGATTTTGATTTTTATAATAGGCACCAAAGCCGATCTTCCTGACAGGCCGCATCCTCTACGGCCAACTCGTCAGTCTGACACTGACGGAGCAAGCATCTTTAAGAGTTTCTTTTAACGAGTCTCCCACACTCACAGGCACACATCTGATTGATCTCGAATCGCTCTGATACCACATAGTCTCAGAGGAAAGCAGTCCATTATCTCAGCTCTGATACTATGGCAGATTTATCCGAACAAGGGTAAATCCGAGAACGAGCCGTGGGAAAGTCCCCATCGACCTTCAAAGCAGCATTTAACGCCTTTTGAGATAGGTGAGAACTTTTCTTCTTTATTCATGAAAAATAATCCTGCCTAGAAAAGGTTTCTCTGTTGTCAATCTCACTGGATCTCAGTTCGACATAAGATTATTAAAGATTGGAATGGTCGGGAACGGAACTCTTCCATCTCTGTTCTGGTGATTCGTGGTTTTATTCGAGAAGAATTCCCTGATAGATGAGCACATGATGTACATCACTGAGGTAGAAGAAGACCACCACTGGGTCATGCATTTGGCTGGCGCTCTGAACGATGCAAGAAAAAAAGGCATAAATAGAAGTCGATTCCACTTTTTTGTCCTGCTGAAAAAGCTTAGTAAACCGGTCTTCTGAATTCCCTCACCTACCTGGATCAGTGGATTCTCCTGATTCAGCAGGATTCGGCTTCGTATGAAGTGTCTGCGGATTACTAAGCCGTGGATCGATATCTTAGGATCTAGCTAGATAAGACTTTTTACACCTTGAAAAACGGCAGAACGAGACCCTTTAATAATATAAGGAAATAGTTCTAGTAACTTTTTAAAAAGATCTTGCGAAGAGCATCACTGAGGTGATGCACGAAAGACTTTAATCACGCAGATTATGCCTACCGTCGGCTATTGATGAAGATGGAGTCAATTTACTTAACCAAAGCCATACCTGAGTGACTTAGGAAGCGGCTTTATCTTACCTTTCTACCAAAGCTTCACCGCCCTCTCTATACTTTAGGGGTATCAACGTTCCACCCTTTTGTATTGTAATTGTTAAGTTGACACTCTGGAACACACGTTACTCTTATGTCCTGCATTTTTTCGATCGATGGACATAATTAAACTAAGATAGGTCCCTTTCGGAGAATTCATCTTTTTTAGCTTGACTAATCGTGTAGCAAGGAGGTAGGCTTAGAGCCAGCAATCAAGCTAGAAAAGTATACCGCGAGCGAGTAGTCTTTGCGGACATGCTTACTTCATCTTCACTTCATGCTTATACACCTGTGGGGCTGGGGTACAACTAAGTATAGTATTGTACTTGCCTACATATCCGCTTTCACTTAAGTAACGGAATCAAGCCCTAGTAGTTCTGTCTACCTCTGTTTTTCTAGAATGGAACAAAACAAGAAAGCGGAACAGTGCGGCCGTTAGTAGTATAAGGGCCCCTTAAAGGGATAAATTATGTTTCCGTATCGCTTGGATGACTCGCTTGTATGGAACAGAGGCGTGAGTACCCAAGTTGTCGATACTTCTCACATAGCCTACATATATTTTCTCGGTCAAAGAAGTCCCTCCTGGATAAAACATAAAGCCCCGTATCTGGTGACGTTTGGCCAAAATAGCAGCGGCGGGATAGCCATCGTCAACTAAAGCGGCTTCGATGCTTTCCTCCACCATAATCTGTGCAGTAATAATGCTTTACCATTCCTCGCGGCTCAAGTTTTTCTGAATGGAATTGATTGAGAGGCGATGGGCCAACTCTTCCATACGCGCTTGAGCAGGCATCAAGTGGTTGTCATTCTCATCCTCAGGAATGAGGGGCCTACCTCGATCAACCTCAGGAGCAACAGGCTCTGGGGAGTGGGGCGCTGGTTGATTTATGCTCGGCTCGGAAGAGCTCACTGAGTTTCCGCCGGTCTCGGAATTACCAGTGGAACTATTTCCAAATAAATCGGTCCACCTAAAGCCCCTTCCTCCCGCGCCATCACCTGATCCTGAGCCAGCATCAGCCCCAGATGGATACATCCAAAGAGGCATTTCCTCGACACTGAATAGTGCTCGCAAAACACATCCTATTTCCCAGGCAAGTCCCCCCGAGAGGCCACACTTGACTAAAGCAAAGGAGAGGGCTCGACCCCCGA